TAATAAAGATTATGTGAAGAGCACAAGCACTCAATGTCAGGTTAATTCAAATTTATGCACTAACAGCCAAATCTCCCGAGAATAAGTTAGACAGCTTTGACGAAAACCTGGATCATGTCCAGAACCAAAGCAAGTCAATCACGAACCAACGTAGAAAAATGAGAATTTCAACGCGAAGATTGGGCGGCGAAGAGAGAATGACGTTGAAATATAAGGGCCGAACAACCAGTGCAAAAGAGGCATTAGATGGGTTAACTAGTGGTGTAGAAATTCAAAAGGAAAAAATATATATATTGCGATAATATGAAGCATCGCATTGTTTGTATGATAGGGAATATAAATACAGCATCGCATTGTTTGTATGACAGGGAATATAAATAAAGGAGTGGTTGAAGAAATAGTGTGTAGAGATAGAAGTGTTAGGGAATGCTTATTCGAGGTAAAAATAGACAAGACACTTCTGCCGTGACTGGATAGGAAGAAGGACGAAAGAGAAAAACAATGAAACCCAGAACCGGTGGAAATAGGAAGGAAATGAAAAAAAGGAAAGAAAACACACATGTTAAGGGAGGCTTGGGGTTATGAAGAAACTACCACCGGTTTTTGCTGATCATCGGAAGAAGAGTGAGTCTGTAGAAAACAATGATGTATTTTTAGGAAAATAAATGTGTTGGAGAGAGAGAGAGAGGGGGGGGAGAGGAGAGAGAGAGGGGGGGGAGAGGAGAGAGAGAGAGAGAGAGAGAGAGAGAGAGAGAGAGAGAGAGAGAGAGAGAGAGAGAGAATGAGACAGAGAGAGAAGAGAGAGAGAGAGAGAATGAGACAGAGAGAGTTATGACAGGGACCAAAGACAGGTGTGACATGACGTTGACTAACGTTACGAATCTTAGTTCTGAGCTCAAAATTTGGAAGTGACTAGTTGACTCGTCTTACGTCTTTCAGAATAATACAGCAATAAATACACATCCGCTGCTGTTACAATATGACGGGGGAGGGGGGCCATGTTATTTTCTCGTCGTTTGATTGGATGTAAGTGGGCGGGTCACGACTTTTCTCGGGGGCAGGGGCCAGGGGGATGGTGAGGGGGTAGTAGCTAGAAGTCGCTTTTTGGAATAACTTATTGTGCATTGTCGTTTGTTTGTTTTACTCGTTTAAATTTAAGAATTAGATTGTTCGTTTTTTATGACATTTCCTCTAATAACTGTTGTCGTATTCTTAATTCTCGTAAATGGCGCTGACTACCATACCCATATCGTTTCTTATGCTTGTACTTTTCTTCGCCAATTTTCCCTCTTGCATTTCTCAGAATTCCTTTCGTTTTCGGCCAATGCCTTCCCTCTGCCAAAAAGAATGTGTGTGTGTGTGCATGTGTCGGTGTGTGTGTGTCGGTGTGTGTGTGTGTGTGTGTGTGTGTGTGTGTGTGTGTGTGTGTGTGTGTGTGTGTGTGTGTGTGTGTGTGTATGTGTGTGTGTGTGTGATTATGCGTGTGTGTCTATATAAATACGCGCTTGTTTATGCATGTGCTGGTACTCCATAATCGGGTTCTTGATTAATAAATCGTCTCCATCCATGTGATAATGGAGACCCTTTCCATATGATCCATTTTTTTGCTGCAATGACGCCGGTCAGAGTCTCCTTCTCTGGTTTACTTATATTTACAGAATCATGTGACCATCTTCTTCATTCTGGATTTTCGCTGTCTAGGTAAAAAGATTTTACCCAGTGGACAGTCAACAAATGCGCGAGTGAGCGGGGAATATGAGAAAAAAAATTAAATATAGAAAAGTAAAGATATAGGTATGTTGAGCGACTCCTTCCAAAATGGAAAATGTTCTGAACTTTACAAGTGCTTATGTAATACACTGTCGGAGGTCGGATGGAGAAGAGGGCAGAAAAGGCCTCGCAAAAATAAATCTTTGTTTTTCTCTATATTCCAAGGTACGACATGGTTAAGAGGGATATATTTTGTCCTGTTCATATCATTTGTAAATTAAATAAAGGACATGTTGCTTCTTCAGGCCATACGAAAAGGATATCCGTACATGCCTGTACTTTCTTGTTCTTCCCTTCCATTTATATACATATATAGATAGATAGATAGATAGATAGATAATATATATATATGTATGTATATATAAATATATATATATAATTTTATATACATATATATATATATATATATATATATATATATATATATATATATATATATATATATCCGCTTGAATCCTGCACATATCTTTTTTTGAAGGTACCTGTGTTTATATCAGAAGGGAAAGTATATAATCTCAAATAAGCTCAAATGTTATGCAGCTTTATTAACAGTAGATTATAAGGTATTTATTTGAATTAGTTTCCGGTGTAGAGGTTGCCAGAGAATCCGATTCAAATAAGAAATAAATTAGCACTGTTTGGAACATTAGATTACAAATTAACATGTATTACAATGATATTTTGGCAAATATTGGGGGTCGAACTTTTTTTCACAAATGGCCCCCCACTT